GGCTGCACCTACTACAAAAAAAAAAAGTCTGAAACTGAATAGTGCAGAGAATTATTCAATCACACAGTGTTCTGAAAGTGCATTGTCCTCTATGCTGCACTTAAGATGACTGACTGCTTAGGTGCCACTGGTGGTTGCACTGTATCGATACTTTTAAAAACGAGTATTGTATCTGGATACAACATTTCAGTATCCATACTTTGAGTATCGATACTTTTGACAACCCTAATAGAAACCCATTGTTTTATTACAAAATGCTCTTTATTATATTTATGTGATGTGACAGAAGGTGTTTCGGATGTGTGAGGAAAAGCAAAGCTAATAATCACGGTTGTGAAGTTCACACTGCTCTAAAAGGACTCAAGCGACCTGGATCAGAGTTGAATGAAAATGGCAGAGCTCTGAACAGTCCAACGCTACACAAGGAAACAGAGGGAGGACTCTGGAAGCTAACAGTGGGACATCCATTGAGAACCTGATACTGAAAAAAAGCCTGAAACATATTTGTAGAAAAAAGGAAAGATCAGGGGCGGTTCTAGCCATTAAGGTTCCTGAGAAAAAATGCTGTTTGTTGCCTCCTATTTAAACGGCTGTCTTACAGCATATTGTACAGTGTACAATATGCAACACTGTAATTTTAGGGTGCAGTTGACATTTATGAGTTTGTAAATGTAGTTTTTAAGTTTTACACTTTGCACTTTTTCTGTGTCACCTTTTTAATTTGTCTTTTTGACAACTAAAGATGTTCAAAAATTATGTAATACATTGCTGTAAATTTACTAAGTGAATCTCAGTAAACTTTGCCAACACTTTTTCCCTTAAAATACTGTGTAATAGTCATATCTTATTTGATTATTTGTTGATCTCACGAGTTTAAATTGGAATGCTGATTCTCCACTCATCTGGATCTGTAACTCAACACGGCTCCAACTGGACTTCTTTTTTGTTTTACTGTGGCCAGTCACATTTAAAGATTTATGAGTACATGGCAGGTTGCACTGCAAATATAGCAAATATATAGGGTAGAATTGCCTTTCAGACTGTATAACTTGTTTAGGATGTTTTGGGTACCTTTACAGAAGCTTCTGCCCGAGTTTTCTCCCATTCCCTCCAGACAGAACTGGGTTAACTAAATAAGGAATGCACTGTAAGCCATTTTGCCCATGCAACTTTTAGGTTCTGCTCAAAAATGTTCTATTAGATCAAGGCTGCTGTAGAGCTGCTGTGTGCTTAGCTTCAGATATACAGAAAGTTCACACTTCACATGCTAAACACACAGGTGTCATACAGTGTTTCTACTACAAAAAAGTACAACAATCCTTTCTTACAAATAGCTTCCCAGTGACCAACTAGCAATTAAACCTGTCTGTTAACTCTTAAAATCAGGTTTAAAATCTAGAAGAGACTGGTATAAAAAAAAGGTGTTTTACTGAGAACTGAGCTTGGAGGCAACACACAGGTGGGGCGCATTGGGACTTTAATAGCAATTCCCTTTGTAATATATCAAGGTATTCTAATAAAATTGTTTTTGTATCAGTGGGAGTGGAGGTGTAATTTGCTCAACCCCTTTCTAACAAAATTAAACATATGAATAACGATAGTGTTTGCTACAGACTAACTCTACCAAGGATGCCTCATATATGATGAATTGAGAATCAATGTTTAACCCATCTTTTTAATCAAAAGCAGTATATTGTGAACTTGTGAAACACTGAGTAAACCCAATGGTGACAGACAGAACAATTTCACTTACTAATCAATACCACAACTCTAATGTAAAAGACTTGTTTCTGCACTGTTTCATTTTATCTCATCGCATGACGGAAAAATCTGATATGCATTTCTGAGAGATAAGAACGTATCAGTGTGGCTTTCACACACTTTAGTCCTTAAAATAATCCATTATTATACAGAAATGTATGATTTAGGAAAACAGAACAATGATTAATCCATCATACAAAATATAAAGAGAAAAAAAAAACGTGTATAAGGTCTTTGAAAAAAAATGTTCTCAGGGACATGACCAAAAAAAGAACACAAATAAAACTAATTATAATGAAAACTTTACTCTGTTGGTTCAGTCTTAATGTTATACATCAAGAAATAGAACTACTAAAAGGCTTAAATTTGGCAATCTTACCTTCATTAGTACTGACTCGCTTAGCTTCTCACGGTTGACAATCTTTATGGCAACCTTTTGGCATGTTACACAGTGCACTCCAAGCTTTACCAATCCTGCAAAGAATAAAGACAAAGGACATCAGGTCACAAAGGTGAAATGCTAAATTAGAAGTTAGCTCCTGAAGAGAATGGAACTAATGAACAAACTGATCCTTTTTCTAAATCCTGTGAAGAATGTTCCTCGGTTAGTAAGAACGGCTAATCTATAAACCAGCAGATTAAGTGGAAATTTAGGAACAGTACATTTATGATATTGCTAAAACAAATTATGTGAATTGACCATAGACATGTAAAATGGCTTGTGAACTAATGCTCAAAATAACCATAAGGACTTTTGGAGTGAACACAGTTATTTAAATAAACTACACTGGTGGGGTTTATTTGAGTCATAAAGGCAGTGAGTCAATGTTTATTGTTTATTGATTCCTCCTAGGTACCAAACCAAAGAAAAACAATTGTAGTCTAAAGTGAGAAAAAAACAGCTTTAAAAAGTAATGGCAATGTTCTAAACAGAGCTTATTATTGCCTATTACTCTAAAATAAGACCGCATTAAGCAAAGTGAATAACCATCTTTTAAGTTGTTAAAGACATTCTTATTTCAAACAGTATGAAAATACATTTGAGTGTTGGTGTTCCACTGGGATTCCTTGAACAAATAGTCCATCAAAGCCTGTGGTTTGATTCATAACAAAAACACCTTAGCTGTTCTGTTTTACGCATTGTCCCCAGATATCTCAGTAAAACGATCAGTCACAAACAGTGAAGAAAACAGGCAGGGATGCTGCAATGAGCACAGTTTCACCATCATAAAACAGTGCGTGCATTTGATACAAGAGGAGTCATGAAAACAACTCAAATTGATTTTCTGCAGGGACCACACAGTCACATACACATTTCAATGATTTAATCAGATATGTTTTTTTACAAACTGAAACAAATGCAACCACATAAAACACGTCGGTTCATGATTTTGATAGATTACCCTACAGTGCTCATTTTTTTAATCCAGAGCTGAGAGTATTGAACTGAGGTCCGACACTCATTTCTATCAAAAAGAATCTGAGGCAGCACCTTCATTTGTAATTAAAGTTACTATTAAGCAGCTTTTCCCCAAACACTAAATTCTACTTCCAATCTAAAGTATTCCTTTCATTTTAGATATAAAACACAATGTCACAACAGAGGTTTTCCAATCCAAGGCAGGGTCCATTGCCTTATCATTTAATTAGACATACGAAACAGTATCATGTTGTAGGTCTTATAATTAAACACTGGAGTATGTTCTAGCGTGCTGCAGGGTATGAGCCTATTCCCATTTTACCCATTTCAACACATCAAAATGGCTCTTACTAATACGTTGCTCTTAATAACACAAAAAGTCTGCAAGTCAAGGTAAGTCAAGGTGTGGAAACATGTCATATCTAAGTGTACAGGGTTCACACCTAGTTTTTTAAATGAGTGTAAAGGGGGTGAGAGGTGGGGATTTGTGCTACACCTATCATCTGTGCTACACTTATATCATCTGTCTTTTGGCTATTTAAGCCCATAAATTCCATATTCTCTCCAACATGGAGAGAATATTAACATAAGAAACATCAGACTGACGAGAAGTTGCTCCAATTCACTTGCAGCCACTGTAAGGCGGCAATGCACTGGCATAGCATGGCTGTGCTTTTCTTGGTAGATGAAAAACCTTCAGACCATTGGTTGTTTAGGCCTGAAAGACCGGCTGTTTTGGAATCCTCCACGAACATGATTACCCCACCCCTTCTTTAAAAGCTGGCTCTCTGTCTGCAGGCTAGGTGTTAGCGCATGTTGTCTCTTGCATGGAATTGCCCTGGGTCAATAAGAGACCTATGATTTATGTTTTCACAGCACTTGTCTTACGGATATGGGCAAATCTGTTTAAAAATCCATCCATCCATCCATTTTCAGTCACGCTTATCCCAAGCGGGATCACGAGGGGTGCTGGTGCCTATATCCAGCTGTCTACGGGTGAGAGGTGGGGTACACCCTGGACAGGTCTCCAGTCCATTGCAGGGCAGCACAAAGACAAACAGGACAAACAACCATTCACACACACACTCAGATTAAGGAGAATTTAGAGAAGCCAATTAACCTAACAGTCCTGTTTTCGGACTGTAAGAGGAAACCGGAGTACCTGGAGAGAACCCGCGCATGCTCAGGAGAACATGCAAACTCCAATCAGAAAGACCCCAGGCCGGGAATCGAACCCTGAACCTTCTTGCTACAAGACGTCAGCTATCCCCTGCACAAACTAAGCAACCTACTGTATGTGTTTGAAAATCATATCAGCCTAATTTCATTGGATTTTTTAAAAATCTCAGCTTAAACCGGGGTTTGTGGTAAAATGCACTCGACAGAGCCTTGAGGAAGAGAGCTCAGATGTTAGGCCATTACAATAAAGAAATTAGTCTAAGTGCTGAATTTTATTGTGGACTGTGGTGAGAACCCTCATTTATTAATCAGGCTAAAAGGCTAAACATGCTTAAGCATTAAACAACAGAACTTGAGCTTCCTAAACAAGTTTGGATACCAACTAGTTATCTACTTCATATTCAGCTTGGTCAACTCCCTGTTTTACAAAACTGCGGAAAATAAAATAGGGAACCATATATACAGTGTGAAACAGCGTTTTGTTCTTAAGAATTAGTGAATTCACGGCCACAAAATTTGTCCTCATTCAGTGGCTGGGTAGAACAAATACATGGCATGGAGATCACTTGTTACTAGTGTTGACTATATATATAATACTAACTCTCAAAATATATATATAATGTAGGCAAAAAAAAAATGCTAATTCATGCTTACAGGGCACTTATTTGTAATATATAATATATATATATGACAGCAGCACCAGATTTAGCTGAGAGGTGCAGATTAATGAGGCTGTAGCCTAAACTTGTGCTGACAATGCTACCAGCCACATGCACAAACTCATTTTTCTCCCACAGAAAAAGTCAGTTTGTGCCTTCAATCACAACTGGAACATTTTTAAGGTCTTGAAAACATTTGGGGTTTAACCTAACCCTCTTTTCTTCAAGTCCCCTCTTAAAAAATGCATTTTATAGTCTGTGATGATGCTTTTCCACCCACTACGTTCATATCTTGTGCAATGCAGCATTGACTAGATTTTATCCTAAAACCATCTGCTGATTGGTCCATCACCATTTAACTGGTGATTTCGATTCTCCAATACCAGAATAATTTGCTAAGTTATTGGAACCAGTAAAGGCCAGGGCATTAAGGGCTGCGTCTTTCTTTGTGGGTTAAAGGAGGCGGTTTGTTACAGTTCAAAAACTTCACAGCTCAAATTTAGGTTTTACTAAAAACAAAAACTGCTTTAATGTTTTATAATAATGAAGGATTGGCTTTTTCCAACTTTGTCAAGGTTTGATTTTTTTATTTTGTTTTTCATTCATATAATTTCCATTTATGGAAAAATAGTTACAACAATTAGGCTGTTTCGTTAAACATGTCTTAAGGCTTAAGTAGCCAAAGAAGACTCTTCTATTCATTTTCATATAACCAATAGGTAAACTCAAAACTACAAAAGATTTCTAGCTCTGTTATTTACAGGTGTAAAAAGTGACAAGAGTCTTTTTTTGTCTCAAAGAAGAAAGCAAAGCATGGAGTAATGTCCAGAAGTTTTTTCTGACGTGTCACAAACGTCAGCAAAAAATATAGCATAATGATGAAAAACGCAGCTGTAGAAAAGAGGTTAAAATTAGAAGGAATAAAAAATAATAGCGAGTAAAAACAAATGTTATAGAGATTAAGAGATTGCACATTATTCACACGGCAGGCCACGGATAATGAAGCAATATGAAAGGGGAGCATCGTGTGGGAGTAAGGCTTCAGTCTGGGACGCTCTAGAGCTGCAGGGCAGAACATGGAGTCACACAAAGCAGAGAAAGAAAACGTAAATGACAGAGAAACAGGAAGGAAACGGTAGAAAAGAAGAAACATTAAAGATGTAAAAAAAAAAAAAAGATTTAGAAAGAAAGAAACAGACAAAGCCATTAGCTTTGAGATGATAATCATATGTTAATGGCCAGTATAGAGAAGCTCATGAGTCATGATAAACACATTAAAGAGAAAATATGTCTGCAAATGCCTGAAAAGTTAACAGGATTATTTGCCTCTCTATCCATCTTTCTACAGAGGCAGCAATGTTTAAGGAGAGGGCACATTAAGTAGAAAAAAATGTGCACCAGGAACAAAACACATTATGATTTTACAATAACTTTGTAAACTACAAGGAAGTTTGGAGCACAATAATAGAACATCCACAGTTCCTTTTAAACAGAAAAACACTGTGATTCCACAATAGGTGGATACAACAACATAAGTTAAGAACATTCAAAATGAGAGTTTGCTTGATAAATCTATACTTCTAAAACAGCTGATAGTTGGGAAATTGGGATTAAGGTCCCCACAGCCTCTCCTTTGGGTTCCTGAGCAAGACCCTTAATCCCACACTGCTCCCCGGGCGCCAAACTGTGGCAGCCCACTCCTCCCCAAGGGGTCGGGTTAAATGCAGAGGTGAATTTCTCCACTTTGAGATTAATACATTTCAATTATTAACGGCTACAAAGAGAATCATTGGTCTTCTGGAATCTGTACTTTTTCCCTCACAGCATAAACTGAGAGAGGTACTTCTATTAAGCAGCTTTTGAACTTCTATGATAATTTTTTTTTTTTTCAGTTCCTTCTATTCCTTGCCTTGTTTCCATTAATCCTTCCAACTTGTTTCTCGATTTGCCTCTTGACGGTAATCCCATAATGTTTCCTATGATGCCTGCAAGTTTATCTTTTTCACCAAATCACTTTTTGTGATTTTATTACACATGCACCACTTTCTCACTAGCCAAAAAAAACAGTTTAAACCCGAGAACAATCAGCTTTTAGTGCCAGTGGGAACAGCTTACTTACGCATCTCTAACTGGGTCAAACTACTCTACAAGCGACCCACGCTAAAATCGCCTCAGCTCTGATTGGCATGCTGTGCGAACACTGGACCCAGGTTGAC